GTTGATGTGATTACTCGCGACAACCGCATTGACATCTTCGCCTACTGTGCAAAAGGGGTTTACGACTGTCCCTTCACGCTCAACCATGGCGTTATAGAGATAAGAACGACAATTCCTTATAAAGTCATAACAGTTATTCGCATTAAGACCATCGTTTATAAAACTACCTCAACCTAATCTTGTAGATAACAACTGAATTTGATGAACTGCAATTACTACTGTGAAAATAAATCAAACATTGCGAAGCAGGGTGCAAGACGGTGGACAAGAGCAGCCTCGCCCTACAGTTGCTAACGAGGACGCATGAAAGCCATATTTATCAATGGCGACGGCTAGAAAATTTACGACCACCCAGCCCCAATCAGCAGAAGCACTTTTTGTGACAATAACAAAGGGAACCAGCTAATTAGTTGACTACCTCCTCAGCTCTAATCAGCACAATACTTTTCATTCGAGTAAAGGAGAATATCAGCTGCAAAACCAACTCACCCACAAGGACGCTCAGCGCTTCTCTCTCATGGGCGAGAAGTAATTCGTTCACCCTGTCGGGAAAATGCCTCGACAAGTTTGCCAAGAGACGAGCGCCAAAATTAGCGAACAGAGCTCGACTCCGACAAGCATCAAAGGATAGTTGGGCGCACTTTGATTTCGTCAAGATATAGTTGGCCACTTCAGCAGATCCAGAAGAGAAATTTGTCAGAGCAGATAGCGTTTGTGATCTGTCCGACAACGTCTCTTCACAGAGCTTGCAAACCGCCTGATGTAGAACACTTTTAATATTTAATGAAAAAAGGCAAGCTCAACTAACCTCCCCCATGGCGCAGTCATTGTTTAGGAAAAGGCGACTGGCCGAACCGTCAAGGGCACCGCTTACGGCGATTACATAGTCAAGCGCTGCCCGACGAACATCTAAGCGTGTGGTGGGTGTCAGAAACCCTATAAGTTCGGACATCGCTTTTCCATCATCTTGCGATTCACCCATTTTGGGGGACCTGAAAAGGGTTCGAAGTGGGAAAGTCAGCTTCCAATCCCATTCAACAAGAGCACATATACATGTTAGGATCACTTTAGATAATTTGTTTCTCAAGAGATTTCCTGGAAAAATGGTGACCGCTAAAAGGCACATAATAGCGTGACCTTCGATAGCTTAATGA